AAATTCTGCACCTGATAGGGTGAGTGGTCCCACAACCAGGGGGTACAGTGCACAGCTTGGGGCAAAAGGGGTAGGCCCTGAAAGCTGGAAGCCTGTTGACCGCTCTCTTAGATCTTCTGAGACATACAATTCACTTCTTCCTGCGAGTGTTTTGTCAGCCGAAGCGAGATTCCAGGTTCTTTGATGCGATTTATGTAAATTCAAGTCACGAATATGCGTTATACAATTCAAACCGATAAGTTTTAGTGCGATCTTCCTTTCCAAGGAGTCTGTCTCGGCCAGTTCTCTATCCGAGCCTTTACGCAACATATAATCAAGTCCTTTTCAACACATGACTCTTTTGATCAAATGGCTCAAACCCGGGCATCTTACGGGGTGAGCTCGCCATTTCCAGTTATGTTCTGTCATGAACATATCATATCCGTCCATTTGCCGGGAAGATGAATCACAAAGGCATATGATATGCTCATGATTCCCCGGAAATCCCAAGTTCTGCCTCCAAAACACTGCTCACAAAGTGAAGTATTCAGAATTGTGGCCAAGCATATTGAGGCTGCGGCTTTAACTAACCGTGTCCCTAATACAGTAAAACAGGATGCTCTTCACTTTTGTCACTAGCTTGTGGCCCAACTCATAAGTTTGGTCTTGTGCGATGTCCGGTGACACCCTGTGTTTCACAAACAATGAAGACCATCACAGTGTGACACAGTATATTACTTATTCTATTTCCCATCTGCCGTTTCACCAGCACTGCTCCACGCTCAAGAGGAACCGAGATCCTCTAGCAGCATTATGACGAACTATACGAGCGAAAGGGCTGATTTCAGGAACACTATTAAGATATTGTCATGGTACTGCAATAATTGTGTGTGTGTGTGTTAATGACTTGGATCTATGTTTTACTTAATGCTCCAAGGTTGGCCCAAAACGTTCTTCTCAAATAGTAGTAGAAGTTTTATGGTTGGAAGGATTTGGGCAGCCATTCGAGTCCATTCTGGGACTCCTGAGAGAGATCCGAAGGTGACGGAAGGAGGAATCATAAAGAAACATTAACGAACGCAACACAATTTCAGGTCATAAAGAAACCAAGTAGAGACTCATAGTATGTCATTAAACAAGTCATATTCTGGCATGTGCTGACTGTGGCTTCCCAGCACATCTTAAGTCTAGCAGATCTGGCCTTCTCCAAAATAGATCCTCGAATCAAATGCAACCATGTGATCTTGCATTTCCAGCAAACGTGCCCCGCTGTTTCATTTACCTAACTGCGTCAACTCAATCATTAACACCTTGTACATCTAGTGGGACTTATCCGCCCCGCCATCGCTACTAGGTTGGAGGCCATCGGTCTTGGCATATCCACTCCGTGTTCAGGTTTTCCGTCTCCACTCTGGCACCCCCCAAGTGAACCATCATGGACATGTCCGGTGTTTGGAGCGAGTTGTCTTCCTCTTAATGTGTCTTACTTCTTTTTGTGCCTTCCTCTTTTGCATATGAATATGCTCAGCTGTTCTCAGCATCTTTCCATTCCAGCCCCCCCTCCGGGCCCCGGCAAGCCTGCTTCTTCTTCCTGGCTTGCCGGTTTCGCCGCAAGTGGTCCTCAGGGCCAGGATGTACCCACCCAAAGCCAGTTCTCGACATCAGGGAGCTGTTTGTGGCCAAAGCGTTTGAAATGGACCAAAACGGTCATTGAGAAACTCAAATGTCACTGTCGAATTTTGAAGTTCTCGTGCGCCCTCGTCCACCCGGGTCCACCAAGTTCACGAAGCTGTCGAAATCCAACGCGGCATCGATGGCATACCTGTGGGCCAGTGGGCACACCGGTTTCTTCGGTGTTGCACGCCCGACATAAGATCGCGATGGTTTCTCTCAAAAACTGAGGGGTGCTCAATTAGCTGACCAGCAAAAATACACTATACAAAGGAAGACTGACAGCTGCATTTAAGGGTTCCGAAATGAGTCTTTTTGTTCAATTGGGACTGGAAAGCTTGTATTATATAGCTTTAAAGTGATGGAGACAACAAAGCCAAGCATGTCAACTTGCTCTTGAACGCTCTTGAACAGCTGCAAGTCGTGGTGTACAAGCCTGTGACAACGCGAAGGCCATCCTTCCGTGCTGAAGTGCCCCATCTTGACCAAACAGAAATTGATTCGGCCAACGCTGCTTGAGCTCCGAATCTCCACAGCAAGTGCCAATCTCCACAGCTGAATTCTCCGATGCACGGTCGTGTTGCCGGGAACAGCCGCCGGCTCTGCTCATTGAACATTTGGCCAGCTCACAGTGGGCACGTGTTTGTCATTGGAGTGAAAGGTTCCTCACCTGCCACATCTGGATCTTCACCTCACGTGCGGACTCACTGTCTGTACTTGTTGACTCAATGCAATCACTTGCGGCCTCACTGTCACACAAGGGCCGCCTGTGTCTTCAGCGCTCCAGCCGACCCGGGATGCACACAGTAAAGCTCTGGTGGTGTAGGCCGGGAATCAGGCGCTGGTGACCAGGGGCGTGATCTTCTGAAGCAAACAACCAAATCTGTAAATTTGCACCTTCGTGTCGCCTAGAAAAAAGAACCTACACATCATGGTCAGCAGACCGGTAAATTCAAAAGCTGGCAACAAATATATCACGATGAACTGTTTACCAGCCCAAACCCCAGCAAACCAGTGCATTTCTCAATGAACCTGTTAAACTTTGTCATTGAGTTCTTAGGCCCATCTCTTCCCGACTTCGAGGTCCCATCGCTTGGCCCGTCTGCCAAGCCTTGGAGCTCCACCATGTCCGTCTGCAGCTCCAACAGGCGTACTGGAAGCTGAAGACGTTCCTCCAAGAGATGACTGAGGAAAACGGGCGTTGAAGAACATGAAGTGCATGTTTATTACTAAGAAACGGCAAAGACCTAAAATGCTTTCTTGTTACTAGTAGCGATGGCCTCCAACCTAATAGCGATGGCCTCCACCTAGTAGATTCTAGAACATGAATTGCATGTTTGGTTTGACCAGGCCTCACAAACTCCCCATCGAACCCTTCCTGCTAGGAAACTGCCAAACGGGGGGTTGGAGAGACCCTTCAAAACTGCACTCATGGTGGGCGAACAGCCTGATCTGAGGTTCAACTCAGCAGATCTCAGCAGGATAGATGCTTTTTGACCCCCACCCCGTTTACGTAGCAAACATTGGAGGTTTGCCCAGCTTCAATTTTCTTCTAACCAGCTGTGCTAGCTGCTAGCCAGGGAGCCCCTGAAATGTGTCGTTGGTATTGCCGCAAATGTGGAAATGCTATGGGCTCCTCACAAGTTTCTTGATTTGCACGGGGGTGCCACATGAAATCCACCTTCAACTGGAGACCCCAAACTTGAGTTAAATTATAGCGACGGCCAAGCGAAACGAATAGAACCTGGGCCCCGAACCTGGGCACCCCAAAAAGGATTTTCACACCTGTTGAGATTCCGATTTGCCAAGGAGCTCTTGGGATGGCAACGTTCTCATCATCCTTGCACTGCGCATTGGTCGTAAACCACCGGCCGAAAGCAAAATGGATTTCATCGGATTTCAGCTGGAGTAAACACTCCGGGAGGTATCTTCAGTGAATCATGGCCGCTGTAATCACAGCCATGATCCAACCAAGCTTGTCGCCCGACTTGGCAGCGTGAGAATCAAATACTCCGGGAGGTATCCAATGGGCTCTCCATCTTCGCCTTTCCGAAGCACCGACCCAACAAACATCATGGCATTCCGGCCAAACGCTGTCGGGCGTCCGGATCCAAAGCCACAAAGTCCTCCTTTGGGAGAATGTCCTGAGGAAAAAGGAGGCACTCATGAAGCAAGGAATAGACATATGAATATGAAATACAGCAAGCCTGCTGGATATCATACGGTAGCCATATAGCTGTAGTGTTTTCAATGTGTTTCTTCAAGCATATGAACTAAACCACAACGGCGGATGCAACTTTCTTTGTTTGGGAGCTCTCTACCACAACAAAAAACAAGAAACAAAACACATAAGAAACACATGTTTTATATATAAGGATGGTTGTTCGTTCGTGTTTCCATTTTTGTTTTCTGGCAGATTCGCACCTTCAAGGTCAGCATGAAGGCTTGCCTGGCCTGTCCTAGCTCCTGAATTCAGAACAGCTGAGCTGGCGCGGCTGGTGGGTGCTCCCTTTTTGCTTCAACGGTTCTGTGGTTTTCTCAAAGCGAGTTGTGAGGTAGTACATCGAGACAAAACACAGAATTCTTCATCAACAAACACTCAACGGCAACGGCTTCTGAATTGAACCCCCATATGCATAATTACATTGTATATCGCCTTTATTCGGGGTAATCAACTTTAACAGCTGTGTCTCACCGACGTTACACGTTTAAACTCCTCTTCGCGGAGTAGGCGCATCAGCCGCAAAAACTCCTCTGGCCGTGGCATGGTGCACCGTTTGGGAACCGTGCCTATATGGCACCAAAGAACACCAAAAAAAAGGAAAACTCATGATGCTTTGGACCTTAACAGCCTTAACAAACATAGAACATGACAGATCAACAACCTATAACAGACTCAAGGAGGCCTTGGTCCTGAACATGATGCAAAAAGGATCGATCGATTGGTCGCACTTGGCAACAGTTCTTTAAACAACCCAGCAGGGCCCATTTTTGGCGCTGCACTCTCAGAATGAGTCATCCTGAGGCCTTTCAGGATCAAAACAGCGCTCATCATTGGAGTCCTTGACCACAATGTGAAACGTCATGCCATGCCCTGCTTTCAGAGCTCTTGAAGACTCTGAAAGTCGGAAGGAATTGATCTTAAAAGCAACCACTAGTGTAACTAGTGGTCACAGGTTGGGATTCCCTAATTCATGGCGCTCTGCGGGGATCAATTCTCGACACTTGGACACCCACCAATAAGAAGAAATCAACCACACCTCCCCGGTCGCCCAGTGTACAAAAATAATCAAAGAATCATGTTCAAACGGTAGATGCTATGGTGACTGGACGGAATACATCTGTCCATCTTATCGGCTTTGCCGATAATCACCTTCGTGCGGCGATGGTGATTCAGAAAAGGAGATTTGCCGTGAGCGTGCAGTGGTCTGGATGTGCTTGAAGAGAGATTGGTCAAAAACCTCCTGCACAATGTCCTGAGATCATCACAAACAATCCATATTTTCACATGGTGCTGATGATGCTTGCAGTTACTTACAGTTCTTGGATGGTTAGCAAAACTTGAAGCCTTCAATGTCCTTGGACACCACATCGTCTATACCCTGATATGAACACACAAAATGTAGCCGTGTCAATTGACCAACTCCACACCACGAACCACTTTCCCAGCGTAGATTCCCTCTGATGGTTGTTGCTGCGAATAATTAAATCAATCTTTCTGTTTCCCAGACACTCTTGCTAGGATCACTATTGGGTCAATCAATCCCCATTAAAATTTAGGGCGGGGTTGAGACAGGCATTTTTTAGTAGAACACAATTCTTGGCTCTACACAATGAGGCCTCGAACAAAAATCTGCAAAAAAACATACTACTAAATGAGGGCCTCAACGGTAAATAGGAATCAATGCTTCATTTTGTAGTAGATGTGATCTTCCAAGTCTACAAAAAAAGACCTCGCCTACAAAATGGGACTGGTCCTTTTGCATTCTTGGCATCTGAATAATAGTCTCACAAAACGATACAAAAGAAATTAGATCTTTGGTCTACAAAATGAGCCTACAGTAGCCCTTGTTGTATTCTTGTCATCTAAATAGTCTACGCCATATTGCCATATAGCCCAAAAATTATTTACAACAGGCTTTAAGTTGATTTTTACGATAAATTCTTTACAAAATGCTTTCCACACTTGCGTCATGTAGCCCAAATATCTTTACAAAATGCTTTAAGATACATTCTTTACAAAATGCTCTTCCACATTTAAGTCATATAGCCATATAGCCAAAAAATTAAAATACTTACAAGATTAGATCTTCAAATTTCTGTCGTAGATAATGACATGTCCGAATTCGGACAAATACTACTAAATGCGGGCCTTGAGCCCACTTTTAAACCTACAATATGCATGGTGTCCCGTGAGCCCCCAAAAACATCTCCTACAAAAAGGACTGGAAAGTAGAGGGGTGCATTTGGTAGGCTCAAAAAGTGATTTTACTACAAACTGGTAGCTCTATAGTGGCCTCAAAGGCCATCATTTTAGAACGTAATTTTCAACTGGGACGTCAATCACGCATCCGCTACGCCGCAAGACCTTGGTTGGTTGCAATCTCAACCCCAATGAATCCAGTAACAGCTCTAGTGGTCACCATGCAGTGGATCAAACACAAGACACCTTCGTCAGGCATCAAAACATCTGGGTGTGCATTTTAGTAGGGAGACCCGCAACCAATGGATTTGCTCTATTTTGCTTCTTCCAGGCGGTTTTGTGGAGGTCTCCCTATTTCAATGCACACCCATCCAAGAATCCGGATTCCAAAAAAATGTTACCGGCTTGCATCCACTCGGACCGTTTTGGGAGCCCTTCTTCCGTTGTTCTTCAGTCACTGCACCTCCTCGTCGGGCGCCGTTGCAGGGCTGCTGGAGCGCTTGAGAAGATTCAAGACCTTCGTTTTCGAACGAGTGCCGATGAACCACCAGTTCTTCGATTTTCGGGTAGCAAGTTGTAAACAATCCATGAAATACTTCGAGGATGATACGGTATGCAAAGGGCCTGACCATTGGCATCTCAAAGCCGTGGGGCTTTATATATATGATAAGATATGATAAGGATATATGGGGTGCGATGGGGGGTGCGGTTTTATTTAGGATATATATTGTTGTATTTTGGGATCTTTTTTGCGGTCCTGGTTTCTCTATAGTTCCTTCAGTGGAACTGACAATATATATATATACTATCTAAGGCCTATAGAGGTGCACTAAAATACGACCACCAGTGGAGCAAAAAAAGAGTGGAAAAATCATACAAAGCTAGAAAAGAAAGCATAAGGCACCACTAACTCAAGGATTGAAAACACACTTATCGAAAGTGACAGCGACAAAGACCAAAGAAAGAAAACACATTACAATATATCACGGTAAATGTTCATAAGGAATTATATAATACGCCACACACAAAAAATACAATAATAAGGAAAGTAAAGGAGAAAAGCCAAGAAGAACAAACCAAGCGCAAAGAAGGAACAATGAGAACAGAACACATTCACAAAGAAGCAATGGAAAGCAAGGAAAAAGCAAGACCAGCACAGAAAAAGCAACAACAAACCAGAAAAGCGAGAGCAACCACAGAAAACCAATGAGAAGCAATGACAAGCAAGACTGGCGCAAAGAAGCAGAATTAAGCAAGAAAAGCGGAAAACCCTTTCAGAAAAGCAATGAGAAGCGAGGAAAAGCAAGAAAAGCAGGAGAAGTCATAGAGAAGCAAGGAAAAGCAAGAAAAGCAAGAAAAGCAGTCAGAAGCAACTCCAAAAAATCACCAAACTCAACCAAAAACAAATAAACACAAATAACCCTCCTATATGTGTAAATAGCCTAGTGTCATGCTTTTCTGAAGCCCTGATTACCAGGGTCAAACGGTCGATGATCCCAAACAGGGGAAGAAGCACATTCCACACAGTCATGCTGAGCACGTGACAGGAAGAAATTGTTTGAACACGATAATCCCGAGTACCTAATAAAAACACTACCTAATTTGTCAAACAATGCGCATGTCGGAGACTCTAACATTCTTTTGTTTGTTTTTGCTGACGGTCTTGTTATTCTGCCACTTAACTACAATTTGTTGGGGAACTATTCTTTTTAGGTACCCACTCACTAGAATCACAACCAATCTTTGCCCCTCACTAGCGACACGCCGCATTTACGCACGCATGTGCACCCTTCCCCATTGGCACCGAGCCACACAAACGTGCTTTCCACCTTTCGATATATATGGGTTTTAGTATGATGGAAAGTTTACACGCGAAGAATATCAAATAAACACAATGGTTAAATATGATTTTTAATTGGAAAAGGAATACCCTTATATCTGGAGTTTCTTTTAAGTTTTCTGATACGCGTTTAATATAGTTTAACAAAAAATCTTTGGAACTATCTATTAATATTTTTAAAAAGACAAAACAACAATACATTTTCCATCATTTTCCTAGGCGACTGAAGTCGGCTTTGAAGCACGGGCCCCTGGTTCCATCTTTGCGGGGCCCTCGCGGTCCTTTGGGGGACCACAAAAACGACGCCAGGAGTCTTTTCTGGTGTGTTCTTTTAATAGGTGGAAGGGATTACTAACCCTGGTAGCTGAGGGCCTTCATGTCCCAGGTGTTCCTATTGTCGCTTTCCTGGCAGTGGGAGACACTAGGGGTGAGCACAAACCTTGGTTGTTTCCCTTGCATACTTGCTTGGAGATTACATTCATTCAAATAAACACCACCAAGAACGGTACTAGACTGGAAGCCATCGCTATGAGGTTGGAGGCCATTGCTATTAATAAGTAACTCAAAACACGCACATCAATGATGATTCCATGAATCCCATGGCTGTCCGTTGGAGCCATTGGAGCCCCGCCTCTTCGAAGAGTACCTCTACTTTGGTCTCCATCCGCCAAACGTCGAGTGCTTTCGCACTGCCCCGGAGACGTGCCGCGCCCTCCTAAGGCCAAAGAACAGCAGCAAAACAGGGTGAAGCCAAATGAAACCCAGGTGGCTTTTGAACCAAAACACCTCCATGTAGTCCAAGATCGTCAAATGCCCCTGCTTTCAATTGAGCCGGCAACAATTCAATGTTCATATACCAATCGGGGTCTGAAGGTGAGTTTCAGGACCACTGCATACACAAAGGGCCAACTTTGATTGGAGTACCAGCAATCTACTTACCAATAAACCCTCTAAGAGTTCTCCACCATACAAATTCGATACAACATCGGGAGTCTTTGGCCGCGGTGGCTCCCAAAGTCGGCGCAAGGCTTACAAGGCTTGCATGGGCATTGGCATAGGCCGCTCACAGAAGTGTAGAGATTCATACAGCTCAACCAAGGAAACTAAACCTGAAATGTCCTGGATAAACAATATGGTACCAACAGGACCACCCAGCTCAGCTTGCACAGCCTATTGCAGGTTGAGTATAGTGTCTCGGGTGGATTGATGCGCAATACCGCAGTCACCTGGTGTAAGTTGAGGTGGAATGTCAAACCGAAACTAGGCCCCTACAGGACCACTTTTCAGTTTCACCAAGATGCGATAAACTCATTTAGAGTGATCTGGCCATCGCCATTGTCCTCAGAATGTATTCTCAGGGTTGGCCACAAGCCATGGATCAAACGATGTAGACGTTCAAACAAACATGCAACTGCTGGATCATGGATAGGCGACTTCCTTCTACAGCGTGTTCTTTCTTCCCCCCAGGACTCCACAAATAGGCTGATTTGTTTTCCTATGAGATTCTTCTGATACACACACTCTAGGGTGAATGTTAAAGGTAGTGAACTCAAACAACAAACGACAAAACACGAGCGCTGAAGAAGGCAAGCAGCCAGGAACTCAAACAAACCTCAGTGCCATACCGCCTCTGATGACAATCTGCCGAGCTACAGGCAACAGCAAGCAGCAATTACAAACTGACCAAGATCCCCAAAAGGTTGCGGTGATCATTCGTGATGATCCAAGGCACTGAATGCCTATAAACTACTATAAACCACCTTATATGGAACCCTCCAGTCTGCGTTTCTTGGTTTGGCCTTCTGCCGTTTCCGTGTTCGGTTCCCTCTGGCAACTCAGAAGTTCGACGAGTGCAGTGTGCAGCGCGGCCCAGGGACTGAGCAAGTCGTGATACTCAAGCTCCAGCTGGCCTTTGCGCTTCAGAGCTTGGAATTGTGTTGCATGTTCAAACCCTGCGATTGAGTGGCGGCTACTCAAGGCTTCTCATACTGCACAATACAGAACATAACACCTTTTCTCCCGCTTGCCAAAGTTCTAGGCATTCCGCCCTACTGAGGCCTACCTCCTTTTGAACGTTGATGCAATCCTTTCGCCCTTGTGCTGCCCATGTTTGTCCACTTGTTGAACATGTGATCATGCTATTGGCTACAGGGTGCTTGATTAGGATCAGGGCGTCCCCCAGCATGATCGAAACTGGTATCACTAAGGGTTTTGCTTTCTTTGGGAGTCCCAGCTTCCCCTCTCAGGAAACAAAACAAAAGCAAATGATCTGTGTGTAATGGAATGTAGTTCAGCATGCAATAGTCAACTGCGTTTGCTGCTGTATAACAGGAAGCATCAATGGTCAATCCCAAATGACCAGCACATTGTAAAAGCAAAGTTGATTTCCTGAACGATAGAAACACAATTCTGATCCAATTAGTCCGTTGATAAAACATCTACAGTATATAATTAAAAAAATGTGTTGCAAACACATGGTAGAATTCTTCATGAGACCCTTTCAAGAGAATACACACAACGGGCACACCTTTGAAAGGCAACACGCACACCAAGGAACCTATCTTCCACAAAATTGCGATTTCCACAAAATGCCGAAGACGCACACACACATATATACATATATATATAGCAACTATAAGTTATAAATATACACATATACACATAAACATTAGACACTATATAAGTCGTTTCCTTTCCGTTTCAACTCCGTTCACTTGCCTTTCAAAACCTTTCCAAAACCCAGTCTATCATTGTGTGGGAAGTTCTTTTCGGTGGTAATAGACTGGGTCCAGCATGGCGACGTGCAAGAAGTCTGAGAAAATCACCAACAACTTAGACTGGACCTACTCCAAAAAGATCCACAGACTTTGACCCACCATGATTTGCTTCATTGGGCGGGAGATGCTCCTCTCAGGTCTGGCCGATTGGCACGAGAGGTGGATCCACCTGCACTCTCGGTGGCCTTCTCGCACCGGTCATCCCTTTTCCCACCCAGTGGCTGATCCAAAACTGCAACTTGGGCGATGCCACCAGCTTCGCAAACTCATCGATGCTGATGGAGCCGTCGCCCGAGAAGTCCTCAGGCGACCCGGGCGGCAGGTTGGAGGCCATTGCTATTAGGGTGGAGGCCATGCCTGCCCAAAGGACGTCGTGATGCAGTGTGCATTGTGCAATTGCACATTTCTTTGTGCTGCATGGGGGGTGCCTTGCAAATCCACAAAGACATATGATGGTGCAATGTGAAGCATGAAGGAGCTCTCTAACCATGTGAAGCCACCGGAATGTAGTGAGCCGCTCAAGTGAGCCCCATTCCTTCAACCTCCAAGGCACCATGGCTTGAAACAGCTTCTTCACCTTGCGTGTGTATGTGGCCTTATCGCGCTCCTTCTGACGAAAGGCCAGTTCTTCGTCGGAGCTTGCCGTCTTCATCGTCTGCTGCACAAAGACCTTTGGAGTAGCGATGCACTTGTTCCTAGTTGCTTCTTGCTAGTAGCAATGCCCTTGTTACTAGTAGCTATCCTCTAGTAGAAGTGAATTCATGCCAAAACACCTCTTGTACTTGAAATTGGGGGCTCGGAAGACTCAGGCGGAAGGGCTGACCTACGAGAAGAGCTGGCCATAACAGCCCTGTGTCTTCCATGCTGTGGAAGTTGTAAACCATAAGCTCCACCTAGGCAAATCTTTTCTACCTTTTCTGTCATACAAGCAGTATAATCCTTCGATCTATGACGAACATTTAGCCAGTTCAACTAGAACTAGACTGTGGACCTTGTGAGTTCGCCCTTGTCCATCAATATCAATACTTCATTTCGGTGGTCCCTCAGCTGACTCACCTACCTATCACCCCCAATGGCACCCAGCCAAGGAACAGCATTGACCACATTCAGAACGGCAAAGCCAAGCACACATCCTCAGCTTTGGATCGCCCATACTCCAATGACAAATAATAATCTAGATCCTTTAAACACACAAACATTTTATCACCTTACCTTAACATCGTTCAGAAATCTCTGCGGCAAGAAGCACGTGTTTCTTTCCCGGCATGACGCCACTCCATGCGTCAGGTTCTGCTGCTGACCGTGAAGCAAATACGAATGAACCAAAAGAAACATGCGGCAGTACGTGGAATGCATTTCCAAACTGCAATCAGTCAGTTTATGTAAGGTGTTGGATCAGACGAGAATCGATACAGCAGGAAGAATATTGAAAACCACTCACTAAGGTTGTCAACAAGCACCCTGCATGGCGGGGTCCAGTTCGCAAAAAGTATTTCCTTGGTTGGTCAGCGTCGTCGGCCACAAATTGACTCAAACCTTTCCAAGATTGAAGGGTCATCAAATCCGAAAGCGGTAAGCAAACAACAGCATATACAAGGAATGATGAACAAACAAAAAACATGAAAGTTAGCATGTCAGTGTCAAACATTGTGAGGACGGTCCGCGTGAATGTGCCATAATATAAGAAGACTTCCTTGCAGGCAGGCTCACAGCGGGACAGAACGCACTCACTGTACTTTTCCAAACTTAACCATATACGCAGGCCATTCTGCTGGAGAACATGTAGAGTCGCTCGCTCGTATACTGTGCCTGTGGCCCTCACATGTTACAGTATATTTCATGGCCAATTGACCAGGACTGTCGCAGCTTCAGGAAATACTCTGTTTGCTATTAGGTTGGAAGCCATTGCTATTAGGTTGGAGGCCATCGCTATTAGATTGGAGGCCATTGCAATTAGGTTGGAGGACATCGCTAGCAGGTTGGAGGCCATGGCTTCTAGGTTGGAGACCATTGTTTCATGACCAGGCCCTTACCAGGCCTGTCGCAGCTTCAGGTCATACTCTGATTGCTGGATGTAATCCTGACAAAGGGTGCTCAGAATCATCCCAGCAACACACCTCAGGCAGCGCGCGAACCTCTTGCCAACTGCTTAAGCCCAGTGTCAGTCTCGTGTTCAAGTTCTATCTGCTCCTTTCTGCATCCTCCAATTGTTTTCAGGGCTCCCCAAAATGGAACTGTCAAGCACCAAGAAAATTGGAACTGTCAAGGGGGGGTTCCCCACAAATTGCATTGAACGGCGAGGTCAACATGTTTTTTGTCTGCACATTCGCCGGAAGACTGAACAAAGGCCAACAAGCAAAAGCTCCACCAAAGCATGTCTCTGCTGGCTGCCAGGCATTTCACCAAGAGTTGTAACGAGGCCAATACGCTGGTCATCGCCACCATCCGCACTGCTCGCACCAGTTTCCCAACCCGTAGCAAGCGGAAAAGCATGGGCTCCACGGGCAACTTGACCGTGTAGTTCAGGGCCACCTCGATCACTGCAGCTACGCTCACCTTAGCGGCTGCCCTGACTCACCAAACTGAGAAGGAGTGGCATATGTTGAATTCATGCAGTGAGGGTGGAACATGATCTATAACCTAACACCAAAAAAACAAGCCAAACACATTAACAACTATTTTCTTGGCAACTGAAAGAACGCAGCACTTGCTCGTTGTGTCTCTCTCTCTCTCTGTTTTTGGCAATGCCCCCCCCTCTGTTTGTAGTATCCTTGTCCCCTTTGTAACTGTATGGAACCCAAAACATCCAATAGACTGACTGGGGAGGTGCCGCAAAAGGGATGCTAACCAATTCTTTCAAACAACATGTGTAGTTGTATACACGCACACACACATATCCATCAGGATACCTCCATTCAACATGGCAACAACAAACTCAGTGAGCAGGACACAACTTTGATAGACTATGTATCTTGCAACAACATGGAGTTCAAATCCGCTTCCCTAATTGGCCTGACTTGTATGTTCCAACATGTCAATGTGTTGATCCGACAGCCGAGACACGGCAAGACTAGTCGGACAAATTCACAAATCCAACTGTTCAATGTGTCACATACCTGGTATTGGTCTCCGAATTTGCCGATTTGCTGGATCGAACAAACCTTTAAACTAGAAAGTTTAGAATGCCACAGTCTCATGACCCTCCTAAACACTACCCATAATAAGGGAAAATTCATGTTCCCACCATACGAGCACCTGGTCATCCATGTTGCTTCAATCCGTTTCCTGCCCATTCTTAAAGAATGTGGATACCCATCGGTGTCCAATTCGTGAACTCTTACAGCTCCATCATATATCCTATATACTTACTCACATGTTTACATGTCTGTTATTCAAGGCGCTACGAGATCTAGGAAGTTCATCAAGACCTTGAAGAATCTGCAGCGTTGAACGGCAATCCTCCACGCTGCGACGTGGTCAAGCGTAAAACAATGCGACGGGACTATTTTTCTGTTTGTATATATGTATATGTTTATATATAGATATGTATATATACTATATGCGTATATATATATAACACTGCAATTATATATGCACAATGACAACTACAAGTAAAAATTGTGTATATATATATCTAAATATATAATTAATTTTATGTATATGTGTTAGTTATCTTTGTGTTCTTTCAGGGTCCGCATTGATGGGAGAACATCTGGACAACCATCTGGAACCCCACAAGCCTCATCAATACCGAGTTGTTTTCCAATTTCGGCAAAGGCAACCTGTCCTGCTGTGATTGAAGAGCATGCGACATCCGGTACTTGCATGTACATGCTAAGGGGCTTGACTTATTGAACAATTGGAGCACAATACCGACAATACCTAGAACCGCCTAGAACCCACTGAACGCCTTTACAGGAAAAGACCAGATTGGAGCGCTCCAAACCGGGCGAACATTCTGGAACCTCCAATGCTGGTGCAAAAATCGCATGGTTTCAGTCAAACTCAACCCCCCTTTTTGGTTGGAACATGTTGGAGGACAACGAGGGACATCGAGGGACCACGTGTATGGTCGCCCGCCCCGGTCGCAACGGCATCACCGTGACGCCCGCCTGATGGCCACCTCTGAGGCAAAGAACACCGCGAAGATGGTGTCGACGATTTGGGTGACGATGCTCCAGGCATGAGGATCCACATCCAAACCGGTCTTCTCCTCCCAAACGCCTAACCTGGGAACGGCGAGGCGCCGCTGATTGGAGAACGCACGGCTGAACGAGCTTGAAGAACGGAGAGCTGGGGCCGAACGAACATCCCAAGAACCGCCAACGAAACATCGCATGCCGAGGCGTTCTGAAGCGCATGGGGCTTGGCGAATCGTCTGAAAACATCAGAGAACCAATCAAAACTTCTGAATCTGTCTAAGCAAGGAACCAATCCAAGCAAACAAACTGGTTTGGCCTTAAGGCTAGGCTGACTAGACCAACCAACCGCTTGTGTGGTGTAGCACTGATTTTGTGTTAGAAACAGGCGCCAAAATGCGCCAAAAACATCCAAGCAACTCATTGCCGGTCCGAGAGCCATTGACTTGCAATGACACAGCCATCCACAGGACGTTGGCCAACAAAGCAGCTGCAATAAACCTTGCTTAACGTATCAACACGCTTCCACAAAAGGATGCTTTGGCTGAAAAGTCACACACACTCTGACGTTGGTTTTCAGTTAACTCTATTCCCAAGTGGAAGGAAGGCGAAAGGACCGCAAGGTCCAAGGACTTGAAGATGTTTAAAAATTGTTTCTCTCATCTGCGGTGGGAGGCTCACGAATGCACGACAGCCGAATGAGCGGTTGCAGAACTGCGGTGGTAAACCTGTTTTGGGGGAAGGACCACATGAAAAAACATGAATCAAACCAAAGGAGTGGACAGCGTGGTCAACAGTTGAAAGTGCAGGTACGGGAGTTTGCGTCCAAACTTCCATCCAGTCGATTTCCATAGCTTCATGGGCGTGACTAGGAAATCGACCGTCACACCCCCTGCATTCAAAACTCTTAGTTACAGAGGTTGACACGCACACACACGATGCCGCTTTGCGGCGCTCGCGCGGAGGACCCGAATAGGTACCTAAAAAGCCTTAGAAACAAAAGAAAGAACGACAGAAAGAGCAGCGCTAAGAGGGCAAGAGAGAATGGTAGGAGTAGAAAAACAAGAGAGCTCGACGTTATGCGGGTGTGGTTTTTACGTGCTTTTGTGGTGTTTTTCTTAGATTTTGTCCTGTTTAGTCAGAGTTTCCATGGTTATAGTCTAGATATGTTCTTGTGCTCCTGTTTCCTAAACAAAACCAACTTTCCTTGTTTAAAAAAACCTCTGGATCCAACTCTACCCTTCCTTGCCCATAAGCATTCTCATTGTTTCAAAGGTAGCACTTTTTGGGCTTCTCCCTCCACATTCTTTATGAAATGGAGAGAAGATCATTATCTTGAAACACAATGTGCCCACCACGCCCAACAAAAGTTGAGAAACTTGCTTAGTAGTACTGGACCTGGATGACTGATTGGAATTGGGTTTTGCATGGCCTTCTTGACGTCCATACCCATAATAAGCCTCATCCTCATTCTCAGGGTCACTTGGGAGCTCACATCCTATCCCACAAATTCGATTGGACCAATCCTGCTCATCTCCACTGCTCTCACCCAATGGCTCTTCAGATCTATGCTCCATATCCCCCCATCTATGACGAAATCTTCCAAAGAATCTTATGAAGCCCATGGAATGATCCAGCCTTAGATACACTGAGGGTCTGAATTGGCTGTGTGGCCACTACTCATTCCCAAGGCTACCTTCTCTTCACCCTAACCTTCTTGCCCACACATAGATATACATGAAGTCAGGTTGTACCAAACCTGGTATGCTCAGCATGCTCCTAATATTCACCCAACATTGCCAAGGACATTCTCGCGATGCCACCCAAGCTCAAAACCTCATTGGACCTCACCAACACCCACCCAAAAGTAAACCAATAGATTGTGCCAAAAAAATTGCACTACCAATAGCATGAATCATAAGGAGCAACCAATGTTGTACCCAAATGGTTCTGATCTTCCATTGGGCCACCTAATCATGCACAAACCCATTTGCACCAAGCATTCCATGGACCCCATCCCCATCATTGGTTGCCCAGCAAGTTTCCCTCTCACATGGTGCCCATGTGTTCTTGGAGGACAATCAAACCCAATCGAAGCACCATCCATATTGTGCCACTGTCTAGAGCATTTGCTCAATGGCTTGTATGGCAAAACAATTTGCTCAAAGTCAGGATCCCAATCTCTCATACAGATGTTACTTTTTTGCAGCCGCCTTTGGTCTCAAATGAAATTGCATACATACAGCCACAACCCCAATGCCAGCTGTTTGATGCACCCAATGCTTCATCTCATCTCATCTCATCTCATCTCATTTCATCCACATTGGAAGTTCCATTTTCCTATGCTCTCTAGCTATATGCCCATCTCTCTCTTTCATTGGATATCTTAAGCCATCAAATCAAGACAATCTTCCACACTCCATCATTGAGACCATACAGTATAGGTATCCACCCTCACCACATAGAGCCTACAATATATACAAGTGCTTGCAGGAGCAGACAGTTGTGTCTTCAAACAGACGAGAGGAATATAAGAAGTTGTGGTGGAATTGCTACTCTTGCACAGGTAGCTATAATGAAATCAATAATCTTGACTATCTCTAGCACCTGGGCCACTTCCAGCTCGTGGAATTGACAATGAGTCCTCAATCTCCAGCAAGTGGGGCCTGGGCCTAGGCTTCTCTAGGGGGGGGGGGTCGCCCCAAAAAAAAAAATAATTGCTCCTGGAAATGGACAACCATTTTTTTGTTTTTTTGGGCGCCCCCCCCCTAGAGAAGCCCAGGCCCAGGCCCCAGTTGCTGGAGATTGAGGACTGGTTGAGATTGGAGGTCTTGGAGACCAGATCTCCCTCATAGAGGTGATGTCCTGATGTTGTATGATGGGATGTCGTGGACTTGCTGATAGATGATGCTTGATGGACTTCTGTGTGGGAATCAATGAGAACTAGTATGTTTGAATCAGATTGATGAGAAATTTGATAGATTACAAGTCGACATTTTTGCTAGACACGTTCTTCAAAACAACTAACATTTTCAAAAAAACACAGAAAACCGCAAATCACAAAAACGCGTAAAAACCACACCCGCATAACGTCGTTTTCTGAAAAACAACATGGAGCCCACGGACCCGAATGCAAACACGTTCAAAAAGCTACATGTGTCCAAATGACACTCTTGTAGGACACTCTTGCGGGACACTCTTGTGGGTCACTCTTGTAGGAAACTCTTGTGGGCCACTCTTACGGGACACTCTTGTGGGACACTCTTGTGGGACACTCTTGTGGGACACTCTAGTAGGAAACTCTTGTGGGACACTCTTGTAGGACACTCTTGTGGGATACTCCTGTAGGACACT